TCTTGACAACTAGTCACCTGCAGATTGATGGGTAAACAGAAGTAGTTAATCGAACTCTCTCTACCTTGTTGCGTGCAATATTACACAAAAATCTTAGGGCATGGGAAGATTGCCTACCTCTTGTCGAATTTGCATATAATCGTATGGTATATTCTGCTACTCAATATTTGCCATTTGAGGTTGTTTGTGATTTTAACCCACTAATACCTTTAGATTTAGTGCCTTTACCTACTTCTGAACGAGTTAACTTAGATGGCAAGAAAAAGACAGAATTTTTTAGGCAACATCATGAGAAAGTGTGCTAACATCGAGAAGTGGACGATGCAATATGTTATCCAAGCAAATAAAGGACGTAAGCACGTGGTGTTTGAACCACGTGACTAGGTATGGGGTCACCTGTGAAAGGAGCGATTTCTAGTCCAACGACACAATAAGTTGCTACCACGTGGAGATGGACCATTCAAGTACTCAAGTGCGTCAACGACATTGCTTACAAGCTCAAGCTACCATGTGAGTACAAAGTTAGTGTCACATTCAATGCATTTGACTTGAGTCCTTTTCTTGCAGGCGATAAGATCAATTTGAGGACAAATCCTTCCCAAGAGGAGGGGACTGATGGAGTGTCACAAGCTGTCCAAGTCGATCGAAGTGCTCAAGTTGAACCCATGATTGTTCCGGTGGATCCAATGACACATGCTTGAGCCAAGAGACTTAACGAGTCATTACAAGCTATGGTACAAGCTGTTCAAGACTCAATTGAAGTGCCTAACATGGTCAAAGGGAAGGACAAAGGGAACTCAAGTTTCATTAATCTAGTTCAAGTCGTGTGTGAAGAAGGAGAATGAAGTTTGAATTTTCCAAATTTTTCCAAATTTCTTCCATCTTATTATCTCGTTCATTATTTTGGGTTAAATTATTAACTAATAAACGGACCAACTTAGTTGCTTGGATCCACTACTACAAGTAGGGTTTATGGATCGGATTTAAGGGTCCAAGTTGTTGCTTTAGTTTGTCTAAGTTTAGTCAGGATTTCTTATGTAAAAGACACAATAAAACCCATTGTTTCTTTCATCAATACACACGAATAATTTTCTAACAAATAACTTTGAGAGAAAGCTCTCTTAGCTCTATGAGCAATCTTGAATACTTTTGCACTTTCTTGAGTGTTCGTCTGACTTATCAATCAAGACATCATCCTTGATTGTGGCGCCTACTACCTTTCCTAAAATTCGCTAATTCGTTTGATTGTGGGTCAAGATTATATAGGAATTTTGCTACCAAAACTTGTGTCAATCACCAAAGGTCCCGAGTTTGTTGTTCACGAATTTTGATTCGTCAACGGGGTTTGTATCGCGTTATACACAAATTGATAAATTGTTCTGAAATAGTCTTATCTATTACATTTATTCCTCATAAAAGGCTATGTTAATGGTGGATGAGGCTAGCTTGGTGACTTTTATCAATTCCTGTTTACAATTTTACCAATCGAAAAAGTTATAGTGTAATTCTATCCTTGTAAAAGAGAAAAAAAAATCTAACAAGGGAAGGATGAGATTTAAAAAATGAGGAGGGAAAAAGTGGATTTGAAGCAAGGACGTCTAAGTCTTGATTAGTTTACAAAAAATTCTTATAATTTCCATAATCATAAATAAATACAAATGTTAGTTTCTTTTTTTTTTATGTACAACTGTCAATGTTTTTTTTAATATATAGGTACAGCTGTTACGATAAGATATTTCTGATATAAAGCAATTTCTCAATCTAATCGTAACCTTATCCTTAAATTTTAGATGGGATAATTTTAGAAGCCTCCCTTCACGTTTCTAATAATAGCATTTGACACCTTTGAACTTTAAAAAATCTTACTTATCTTCCCTATTTTAAGCCTTTTATAAACTTTTGCAACACATTTTAAAATATAATGTTAAAAAACTCATATTTTGAGATAGAGGGAGGGAGGGGGGGAGGGAGAGAGAGAGAGAGATAGATCATAATTTAAATTTGCCCCTTTGTTGTCTTTCTCTTTCTAGTACAAAAACTAGAATATATTAATAATAATTTAAAAATAAAAATGGAAAGCATAATGGTTCATTCTAATGGGACAAATTATAATACATTTTTAAAGTACAAAGATTTGATATTTGAATGCTCGTTTGAGGGTTTTGGCTCCGTTTAGATTAGCTATTTTTTTGGATATTTTTGAAAAATTTTGCTGTAGCAGAGTTTTTAGATTATATTTTGGATTATTTTCAAAAAATATTTTGGGATATTTAAGAGTAGAAGAGTTTCTAAAATAAAATTTTAAACTAATTTTTAGATTACCTTTTAGAGTACTTTTTAAAAATTGGAATTGTATTTGAAAAACTAGTTTTTGAAAAACACTCCCATTTTGTAAGCTACAAAAGTATTATTTTCTTTACTATAAAGTGTTTTGAATTAATTTAAACAGTTCTCTACATTGTTCACATTTTTTTTAATTTTCTAATTCTTTTTCCGAATGGATGGTGTGAAATATAAAATAATACAAAATGTTGAAAATTATACAAACTTGTTTGTGCTATTTCCAAGTTGTTGTAAAAAAATTATTTTCGTTATTGTAAAATATTTCAAGTTATTTTTACGAGTATTGTAAGTTATTTATAATTTTAAATATATTTCTTGTCCAAACTAATGATACAAAAAACTATTAAAGGTTCTTTCGGCCCCATTATCAACTATTAAAGTTTGATTAAATAACCACATCAATCAAATTTACAAAAATTAAGAGATAAAATTAATGTGTTGTGATAATTATGAGGCCACAAGAAAAGGAAATATTTAGAGTGAGATCATATTCTCTCTCCCAAAATAAAATTTTTTAATATTATGTTCTAAAAGTAGGGGATGCAAGTGAGATTTTTCAAGACTCGAGAATGTCAAGTGATACTATCAGTATCAGAAATGTCATGGGAGGTTTTTGAAATTATCCTATTTTGGATATATCTTCCCAAAAAAGTGAACACTCGAGGCGTTGACGTGTGTCTCTGATTGTGCACACCAAACAGCTAGGACCAAACAGGGCCTTAGGGGGAATCTACAGCGGTCAATTCTGACACTTTATTTCTACTTGCGCAAAATAATTGGGTTGGGTATTTGAGTTTCTTAAGCGGGGCCCAATCGGATAGCCCAAGGACAAGATCTGCAACCGTTTGTGCCAGTTGTATTCATTTTTCACTGCGCGTAATTTTCATTTCACACGATGTAATTTATTTTGCACACGACATAATTTTATAATACTTTTTTGTGAGCCCCACACATGACTTGAAAATCGAGTTACATGCTGTAATCTGAGCCGCACAAATTTTTGAGGCCATAACGTGGCGTGAACTTTCAGGAACGGTCGTCACTGACAACCGTTCCTGCCCCATTTCCGTGGCGCAATTATATTTGCAAAATTTGAAAAATTCGTGCGAGTCCCAGGACCCAATTGGACCCACTTGTAACCTTCCGTCCTCGTCACCAATTTTCATGTTTTTTCTTTCTTTGCCTTGCCTTCAACCCTTCTTATAAAATCAATCAATTATATGCCAAGAACAATCCTCTCGCTATAGGAATTTAATCGTAACAGTACAGTAAGTTTAAACTAATCACAAACCAAAAGATTAGATGGGTCATAAATAGATAATTGAGTGATCAGTACCCAATTATATCCCAACAAATCAAAGAGTATCTTGAGTTAAATGATTGCTATTTTGCCACATCAAAAGCATAACCATTGGGGAATGTTCTATTTATGAGTTATACTAGATTTTAACAGTACAATTTTTCAGATATGTTGCAATTCTTTGAATATTTGAAATGATTGTTTCAAGTTTTTCTAGTCTAGCTCGAAACAAGATTTTTCCTTGTTTGGATTGCAATTCTTTAAGAAAAAATTTTTACATTTCTTATTAACACATTTCTCAATCTCCGTTTTAGTTTATATACAGTAAATCGTTATAATACATTTTTTTTTATAAAATCTTCAAAAAAATAACAACCCAAACAGCCTTTAAAAGTAATTGAGCATTCCATAGTTTAGGTTCAAACATCGCCTCTCCCTTCCATTAACGAAAATGACCAAATATCCAGTGGCTAAATTTTCAAGTGACATGCCAAAAGAAAGTCAAAAAGGCATGGAACAAATTTAACTTTATGTAAACTTTTCGAATTTAATAGAAGAAGCGGCATTGATAAAATAAACTTTTAGAACCTAAAAAAGGAGCAATTAGCAGAACTCTGTAGAACTGTGTTCTTAAAGAAAGAATTACTGTGTGCACAACAAATATAAACCTTTTTAACCAAAAAAAGGAGAGACTAAAAGCCATAATACTTGTATTGCCTCATTATACAGGTAACAATATTGCACAAATTCAATAGTAGTTTTCTTATACAAGGTTAATATTACAGCCTAAGATGTTAGGTTGTTTTTTTTTTTTTTTAAATAGCCATTTAGACGATCTAAACACTTAAGAAGAGAGGAATGTTCAGAATAACTATACATGCCAACATAGCTCCCAAAAAAAAATAGCTATAGAGTGCCAAAATCATTAACTTAAAATTTTTGTAGCAAATTATATTGGTTTTGATATTATCAAAACTAATATCGAAAAATTAAGAGACGCTTATAGTTAGTAGGGCTTTAAAACTTTAACATAACACAATCCTGTTTCAAATCTAAAACCAACTTCTTTTTTTATTACAAAAAAAAACTAAAACTAAAACCAGCACTAACTTTATTAATGTTTCAACCCTAAACGACACCTTCGTAATGATGCATTAGTGTCTTAGTAATTGACTAACAAGCAAAATTTAAATTGCAGATTAGGAAATTTATTTATGTTAATGGCCGTGGGAGATGAACAGTTTCCAAATATTAGCAGGAAAAGAATAACCTAATACGGGTAATATATAAATAATTCTGTTATCTATATTTGTATTTATGTATACAGCGGATAAAGTGATCGCGACAAGCTAAAACAATGACAAGAAGAGACGGTTCTGTTGATCAAAATACTGACCAAAGTACTGAGCATAGTACTGATCGAAGGCAGTCTGAGGCCTTTCGCAGGGAAATACGTGCTGGTTATCATGCCATACATAATCGGATTAATGGTGAATTTTTTTTTTTCATTTTTTTGGTCCAAGAATTTGTGATTTGTAATGGGTTTTCTCTTGAAGAATCGTGGGTCTGATACAGATTTTGGTATAAATATTGTTTTGTAGTGGGAAGAGATGAGATAGCAAGTGCAGATTCACCAATGTTTAAAACCATCCTCGAAGATGTGGAAAAGTTGCATCAGCAAGGTAAGATTTTCTAGGACCCCATCTCAAAAAAGTTTGATCACATTACTTGTTTGTACTTTATTGTACTTATGAGGCGAAAGAAGCATAATAAGACAAAGAAACAGGACTAAGTACTAGGATTTAGGTGAAAGGTCCACCTGTTCCCCCTTGATAGGAAGGGGACATATGACTTGTTTTTGTGTTTTAGTGGTTAGAGATTCTAAAGTGGAATGTATTGAAATTCAGTATTTAATAGATATGTTGATTTTTAATTGACTGGCAGGATGGGGAATTGAATTCTTTTTTAGTCAAAGATCTTAGTTTTAAGTGAATAATTCGTTGATGACTAAGCAATCCTTTAATTATCAACTGTTTTCTGGTTAGATGAGGCCAAATAACTAATATTTTTAGGAAAAAGATGCGACCGTTAAGTCTTTGCCTAGCCATTACAATCTTCCCTTCTTTTCCTTAAATGGGAAAAAGACGAGTAACTTATCAATTGAACAACGCCTCTGATGCTTATAAGTGCCTTATTCTAAGTTCAAAAGGGGAAAAAAAAAATAGTACCAATTTACCGTGTGATTTAAGGGTAGATCGAAGATATCATACTAGTTTTATTTTTCTTGCATTGCAAAATTATCACCCTGTATTACTGTAACTGGCTGTTGTTTTGGACAAATTTACTCTCCTGTCAAAGAGAGGCCATTTTTCTATAATGCAAGAAACCAAAATGGTTACAAGAGCATGTTGTTTTGTGTCTTGGCATGTCTTGCTAGGTCATGCGCATGTTTTGATTCATCAAGATTTTTTTATCTTTCTTCATCGTAATCATCAAGAAATGAGGTGAGAAAAGAAATCAGGAACTAAGATTACTGGAAGCAGATTCACTTTCTGCGCTAACACTGTTTGAAAGTCGAGACTTAATTATTGTGATGTTTATGACTTTATTGAGGTAATTGTCAGGGTTTCATTCTGATTGATACACTTAACTAGGAATAATTTATAATAAAGATGCAAAAGAATGATATCCTGTGTTCAACATTTAGTTGTCAGATTCTTGAAGTGCTGCTTAGACTATACACCATCTATGGAGTACCTTTTGTGGAGATTTTGTTTATTTTGCACCATGTTAATAAAGCCATTATGAACTTGGTATCAGCTTTTACCAGTTTGCTGTTGCCTAATTCCCCTGTACGAGATCCTCACTTCTGCAACAGATGCAACTCAAGTATCTGAATTCTACTAGTGAAGTTGAATATCAGTAACTATGCTCATAAGTTCATTGTAATAATTCACTAATTATTTGATCTTCAGTTGTTAAACCAAGGGAGCAAGTTGCAGATGCACAGGTTATGCTTAATCTTACTACCACGTTGCTCACCTCGACTGAATCGCTTGGTCTTGGGGCATTCACCCCCGCAAACTTTGTTTCTTCACTAAAAAGACAGTTTGCGGAAGATTCTCAGAGAATACAATCTGGGAATTCTTCAAATTCAATCAGTTGGAAAGCTATTGGCCGTGCTGCTGCACATGTTTTCAAGCAAGGAATAGGATGTCGGACCATGCAAGTCTTGTTGAATCCTCAAGTCTCTGTATTTTTCTTCCTGTTTTGTCTTAATTTGTTCTAATCCGCTTTCAACTTGATTGCTGTTTTCTTAGGATTGGGCCCATGGAATTGATGTTTAAGCCACAGAAATGTACAGTTGTTAGAAGACATCGCAGGCTAATCGAGAAGGAAAAACCAAAGGAGGTGTGGTTTCTTGCCTCCCTAGTCATCAATTTACAAAGTGTGTTATTTATGTTAGTGATTGTTGTTAAAAACTCTCGTTTTTCTTGTAAATTTCTCCCTTTTATTTCCAGAGCAAGTTGGCGCGGACTCCTACATGAATTTTTGAAAGTTAATTGCTTCGACTTCACCTATTTTTCTTGCCACAGGTCAATTCAGAGGAGGAGACGCAGAATGATATGATTGTTGCAGTGATGTTTGGTGCCCTGAAGAGAAATAATCCTGTTAAGCTTGACAATCTTATACTTAACAGGCATTCCTTTGCTCAAACGGTAGAGAATCTGTTTGCACTCTCTTTCTTAGTAAGAGATGGTCGGGTTTTCATGGAGGTGGATGAAAACGGCTCTCATTTAGTTTGTAAGAAATCCCTCTAAAATTGTCGATTTAGAATAGTTTCATTTCTTTAACATTCAGAAAATGGCTTCACTCTTTTCTTCTATGTTTTTGCTCTTTTCCAGCTCCAAGAAATGCTCCCGTTCGCCGTTCAGTTGTGAGCGGGGAGGTTAAATACAGCCACTTTATTTTCAGACTTGACTTTGCTGATTGGAAGGTACAAAACTGGAAATCTAATGGAAATTTATAGCTCTGCCTGGTTTCTATAATTGTTAGTAATTTTCGAGGTTCTTCATTCCTGAAGATTCAAATTTCTGCTGCAGCTTATGATGGATTCAGTGCCAAGGGGTGAAGAGCTCATGCCACACAGGAAGTATGTGGACGATCCAGCTGATGAAGAGCTTGAAGTAGAGTTGGAGACAAAGAACGTTCAACTGCTGTTAGATACACCTCCACCACCAGGTGTATCTCAGGAAAAGTGTGAATTGAAAGGATTTGAAATGGGAGAATCTTCAAGAAAACGTCGGCAACTCCTACCAGAAATGACTGAAACTGGTCGGGCCAGCAACCCAAAGTGCAGGAGAAAGCTACTCTGACGCACACAGATTGGGGGTTTTGGGGGGGGGGGGGGGGGGGGGGGGACCTGTTGAAGCATAACATGTTCTAATTTAATGTTATGTATAGCTTGAAGATCTATAACAGACAATGTCCAATAGCTTTCATGGAGCAAGTTGTAAAAGTATAAAGCTTTTGCAATACATATAGATCGCGAAAAGACGTTCCCATCTCATTATTGATCAAATATTGGCGCTGATGCCTTTCTATTTTTTTCGTGCTGAAGGTATAATTGAGTTGCCCATATAATCCAATTTATATTGGAGATTTCCAAAGCAATCCAAACTTTAAAATTCTTCCCGAAGTAGAGATTTTGCACTTTGAAATGATAATTTTAAAGTGACTATTTCATATGGTAACTTTGAAATCGCTATTTGAGAAAACGACTTTAAATGATTTATTTTAATCATAATTTGTCTCTAGTTTGCTTTACTTATTTTCAAGTCATCTGAAGTCACCTTTTTAATAAGACTACTTTAAAGTAGCTATCTAAAAATGGTGACTTTGACATCGTTCTTTTAAATGGCAGAATCCCTACTGTAAAAAGAATTCAAAAGTTTGGACTACTTTCACAACTTTTCAATAAATATTGGCTTATTTTGGCAAATACCCCCAAGTAAGTTGGCCATTCGTCATTAGACTTGTGTATTTTGTGATCTACCTTTAATTTCTTTGCTTTAATATTTTTTTCCCTCATGGTTGATCTTACCATATGCATTTCCACTTCTCACAATTTTTCCTGCCTATCATCTACTCTGTTTCGCAAGTTAAATGAAGCTCAACTTCAAACATTACTGTCAAATTTAATAAGAGTTTCAATTTTTACTGATTTAGATTTCATCAATGTGCTAATAAGCGAGACAAATACCTAATGAAGTCAAGTGTGCAATCAGGAGTTATCTAGTTCTAGAGGGATAGCAGACCGTTTGAGAGGAGTGCTAAAGCAAATGATGTTTGGATCATCGTCCATGTTTTAATGTTTCTTGTGCTGGAATCAAGAGAACTACTACATCCACAAAAACGAGAAACAATCATCTTCTCACTGTCACAGAGTCCATGCAAGGTAGAAATTCTTATGAGAAAACTTACATCAGAAAAAAGTCTCAGCATAATACTCCTAACATTTAGATGAAGCCGGTGGTCAACCCACTGTTGGTTATGACCCTAAGAATGTACAAAAGAAACTCTAATTCTTCAAGCTCCAAATCTACAAACAGGCCTTGGTCTTATTTATCATGTCAGGCATTTGCCTTTGGAATGTCAAGATCTTTGAATATAGGACTGTCAACTCCTACGCCCATTGCATTCAGACCATTGTCCACGTATATTACAGCACCGGTAATAGCAGATGCCAGTGGAGAAGCTAGGAAAGCAGCCGTGTTCCCGACCTCATCTGTGTTATTTGTTCTCTGAGTTTAGCATTCTAGATTTTGCAAGCAGAAGTGGACAAATGCCGCCAGCAGCAGAAGAGCATTCAATGGCTTACCTGCGGATAATTCTTTCTGGAGAGGTGCATTGGCTAGTGAATAATCGATCATCATATCGATGAAGCCAATGGCTTTTGCAGCACGGCTTCTTAATGGACCTGGATAAACAACATTTTCAGTTAGCATAAAATAGAAGTGTATTGTTTATTAGGGACGCAAAGATATCAAAATTCATAAAGAGGGCAAAAAACTTTTGCTTCAGTTCAGACAAGTGAAGAACACACTTTTGTGGTGATCGTAAACTGTTTTATGTCATGATTCACCACAAAAATTGTGTACTTTTGCCCTTATTAGAAATTCAGTAAAGGTTCCACCCTCTTTATGGTAATTTTCCCCAAAAGAACTTGCAAATATGCAGGATCTCAACAAAATTTTGCACAAATATAATAAAAAATAAAAACATATGTTGGACTGAGACTTGATTTTTTTTTTTTTTTTTTTTAAAAAGGGAGCCTTGATAAACTAAAAATGGTGGCACAACGAATGATCACATCCCGATGTACCCTAGTAAGCAGTTTTTTCTCCTGGATATCAAAACAGCTTTTTACATGATACTGAACTAGTTCTAGTTTATTGGCACAGCCTTGGGTCCTCTGGTCACAATTCAAACATTTGGAGAATAGAAATGCATATCCACTACCTAATCTACTAAATTCTGTTTATCAGAACCGCCAACATCAGAATTTAGCTTCCATTTTTAAGTACAAGTATAATGCAGGGAATGGGACACAGTACCGGCAGATATTGTGTTGACTCTGACTTTATGCTTCCTTCCAGCTTCAAAAGCAAGTACCTGCATCCCTCAAAAAAATCAGCTACAAGTATCACAGAGTAACAGACGCATAATTCTGACTGGATCATACAACTCACTCTTGTGTCACTTTCAAGAGCTGCCTTTGCCGAGCTCATGCCTCCTCCATATCTGTGCATCTTAAAACTTTAGACTTGGCTCATTATGAAATTTAAAAAAAGCCCCAGAAAGAAATATCGATACCCTGGAATGATCTTCTCAGAAGCAATATATGTCAGAGAAATGGAAGAACCACCTGTCAAAACAATAGCCAAGCTTGTGCTTAATGGGATATCCTTAAGAACTAATACAACTGTAACAAAAGACTAATAAGGGCTGTCAAGCAAAAGGGAACTCCATGAGAAGTATGCCTGGTTTCATAATTGGAAGGAAGTGCTTCAGCAAAGAAACATATGAATAGCTAGATGCAGAGATTGCTGCAAGATATCCCTTCCGTGAAGTCTCCAACAGAGGTTTAGTCACCTACTCATGGAGTATGACTCAGTCAGGTAATCTATCAAACAGTTACATATTTATAATATCATTAAGTTCCTCACCTCTGGCCCATTAGCCAGGGAGTGAACAAGAACATCAATGCTGCCAAAATCCTCTTTCACAGATTCCGCAACCTCCTGTGGAACATTAAAAATGATAATTATTTTCTTTTCTTTTCAATTTAACGAGAATAACATAGCAAGATAGCTATTGAAACATGTGTTACACAAAGGATATAAAAATTCAATAATACAAAGGGATATGAAAGTTCATAAAATAGAATTCCTAACCAAGGAACTCCGATGTTTGACCTCTTTCTAGAAGGCAGAGAAAACCAACACAGAGAACAGGATGATAAAAACTTTACGATTAATACAGAAGCCGAGATGAAATAAAATACAGTTTGATATGTTGCTTCTTCTCTTTACAAGGACAAAACATGAAGTGGATGGAATCTCAATAATTCGACAATGGTGATCGTAAACATGGTGGCCCTGTAGAGGCAGAGAATTAATTAATAAGGCTGCAGTCAGGAATTTGCACTGTATACTTTGAAGTTTTCCCTGAGCATCTGGCATCTGAAACCATTTAGCTAGACCGATAAATTGTTCACGAAATTAGATTGATATCATACAGATTCTTTGAATGGAAAATATGGCATCTGAAACCATCTGACCTAACCCATAATTAGTTCACAAGATCAAAATAAATCATAGAGTTCTTTGTGTGGCAAGATGCTCATCATGTACCTTGACAGTCCAATTACTGGAACCAGCATACCGCTTGTTTGCTTTTACCTGATTGAGATAACACCATAGAGATTTAAAAAAGTATTACAACATACAAACTTAAAGATGACCACCATATAATTTTAAATTACATCTTCAGGGACGTCCTCACGGTTATCATAAACTGCATCTAGGGGATAAACTTTTGTTATCTCCATTAGAGAACCACCTGGCAACCTGCAATTAAATCCTTCATTAGCATAGTCAAGTGAAAAGGTGTTACCCTCGATTATTTAGAAAAAAGGAGCTGAAAAGAACATAAGCTCCAAATCTTACACACGCGATTCATCAAATTTCCCACGTCGTAGACTTGTTTCAAAGATGTTCAAGGCCTGAATAGCATATATGAAGAGCCTAAGAAACCTTCTAAAATAACTGCACACTGATACACTATGAAAAATGTCAATCCGACTTACAGGAACCCAGGTTCCGACGAGAATTTCAGCACCCGCAGCAGCAAGAGATTTTGCAATTGCCCAACCATAGCCATTGTCATCAGCCACACCAGCAATAAATGCTCTTTTGCCTAGGGTGACAGTTTTTGCCATTTAAGCTAAATAAGATACATGCTGCATACTATTATCAAGAATTAAATTAACAAATAAATAAATGCTAGCCTTTTTATCAACTTCTGTTAGGTAAACAAAACTTTTGACCCTTACAATTCACCTTTACAGTCCATTGAGGACTCTAGACGATCAACACATCATTAGAAAAGAAAAAAAAAAGAACAAAAAAAAAGGAAAGAAAGAAAGACTGATCCAAGTCACAGGAATGCAAAGATATATATCATACCTATTCACACCAAATGATCTATTCACAGCATCTCAAAAAGCAACATAACGTAAAAACTGAATTTACATTTCTGTATGCAATTTTCAGGGAAATTGTTAGGTGCCACATTTGGCAGATGCCAAATACTACCCCTCTTATTTCGATAACTACCCATTCATCTCTCCTCCTATCAGAATTGATTATACATATTAACTATATTTTGCTGAGTGGGTATGAAAAGGTAGTATTCAGCATATGCATAATTTGGTTAAGATTTCTATACTTTGCAGAACAAAAACATTAAACAAAAGAAAAAAAAAGAAAAAACTAGGAAAAGGTATGCATAAGACTAGATTAAGAAACTAGGGCATTTTCCTACTGATTAAAAAAAAATTGGTGATATTGATCGGTAACTTTTTGGGTCAAACCTCTAGAGACTTATTATGGTTTATCTAATTAAGGACGACAAGTATAATACCTTCACTGGAAGGTTTTAACCATAAAATGTAGGCCAAAGAAGCAAGCTTTTCCAAAATGTTTTTGGCTTTTGGAGCCTCCCTTGTACTATTTATCTTCTAGATATCTTCTTTCCTTTCAATACCAACTTTTGTACAGATAATAAACATTCCAAATGCTCAACTGATATG